TAGGCCTCTGGTAAAGGATCTGAGATTTAGGAAGACACGTTCCACCCATAGGGGTGAGAAGGGATGGATAGATATCAATCAATCAATCAATCAATCAATCAATCTCACTGGTAGTTCCACCCCATCAGTCTTAACTACCTTCCCTCTCTTTACCATCATCCGGCCGCACTTCTCCAGTCCGAATGACATCCCAATGTCCTCACTGTTGATCCGTATCAGGTGGATCAGCAAGCCGATGTCTCATTCACTCCTAGCATACAGCTTGATGTCATCCATGTAGAGGAGATGGCTAATGGTAGTTCCACTCTTGAGTTTGTATCCGTATCCAGTCCTTGTGATTATCTGGCTGAGGGGATTCAAGCCTATGCAGAACAGCAGTGGGGACAGTGCATCACCTTGATATATGCCACACTTGATGGCAACCTGTGTGAGCTGTCTTGAGTTGACTTCCAGTGTTGTCTTCCACAATCCCATCAAGTTTTTGAGGAAGGTCCTTAGTATCCTGTTGACTTTGTATAATGCCAGGCATTCACAGATCCATGTGTGTGGCATTGTGTCACAGGCTTTTCTGTTGTCAATCCAGGTTGTGTTCAGATTGGTTTGTCTAGACCTTGAGTCTTGGGCAACTGCTCTATCTATGAGCAACTGGTGTTTTGAGCCTCTGGTGTTGTTCCCAATGACCTTCTGAGCTGGCTCATGTACTGGCCCATATGGTCCTGTAGCTGGGCAGCTATGATGCCTACTAGAACTTTCCATGTTGTGGGGAGGCAGGTTATTGGATGGTAGTTGGATGGTACTGTTCCCTTGTGGGGGTCATTCATGATCAGCACTGTCCTTCCTTGTGTTAGCCAGTCTGGGTGGGAGCCTGCTGCTAGCAGCAGGTTCATCTCAGCTGCTAGGCATTCATGCACTGCTGTTAGTTTTTTAGCCAGTAGGTGTGGATCATGTCTGGGCCAGGTGCTGTCCTGCTCTTCATATTCTTGACCTGCTGTTGGATGTCTGCTACTGTGATGGTGACTGGTTCCTGTTTTGGGAGACTGCTGTGGTCTGTTTTCAGGTCCTGCAGCCACTTTGCACTGGTGTTATGTGTCTTCTCTTTCTCCCATATGTTCTTCCAACACTGTTCAGTTTTTGGTGTTGGTGGCTCTGCTGTTGCTGTGTTGTTGCACTGCAGTTGGGAGTACACCTTGGATGGTTCTTTGGAGAATAGGGCATTTATCTTCTTGGTCTTTGCTTCTCTAGTACATCTCCTTAGCTGGTAGCCAGTGCTGTGAGCCTTTGTTTAGCAGTCTCTAAGGCTTCAGATGGAGTCAGACTGTTGTATTTTTTCAGTAGCCAAGTCTTATCCTTAATCTCCACCCTTCTGTAGTTCCATCAGCTGACTAACTTCTCTCCGAGTTGCCTTGATCTTAGCCTCTAACCTCATTTTCCAGGGGGGTTATGTATGCTGTTCTTCTTGATCATGTAGCCAAGCATCTCCAGGATTACAGTGGCTGTAGCATATACCGGTTCATTGGTTTGAGTTATGGTGGTAGTAGGGATTGTCATGAGGGATCTATTGGCATCCTCTAGCATACTATCTGATGGTACTTCTCCACTGAGACTTGGTATTTGGTCTTGAGGGTTGACTGTAGCTAGTTTATCCATGATCTTATGCCTCATATCAGCTGCTGTGCTCTGTAATGGAGGGGGTGGCAGTGACGTTCAGTTTCAGCAGCACATCCAGTTGTTCTTCCAGGTCTTCTTGGGTCCGGGATGTAATGTGTAGTTAGTCTATCTCAAGTTGTGAGAGCAGCTTCCTCTTTACTATGTTGAAGTTTTGAGTAACTAGCTGTTTCTCAATTAGTGTGGATGCAGATCTTTTGTCCATCCATAGTTCCCTCATGTTTCACATATCCCCTCTCATTAGGTCTACTGTTGTAGTAGCTGTCCATCAATTCCAGGTGCTCTCGACTCATCCATATATGTTTTGTTCCAGTAGCCCACTTATTGTCAGATTGTCCTGGTTCTCCAACATCTTACATGGACCTTGTTAATCTGGGTGATGTCTGAGCCAGCATGACTCTCTTAGTTCATGTGACTCTCATATCTGAGGTAGACAGGTGATGCAGTAGGGGGTCTTTGCCCAAGGACCCCTACTGATAAGATAGGTACCAGCTGGGATTCAAACCCTGGTCTCCCACATCAAAGGGTGGTGTTCTAACCACTATGCTATCCAGCACTTCCAGTGTGTGTGTGTGTGTGTGTGTGTGTGTGTGTGTGTATCCTAGAACCCTTGATCTAGAGGCAAAGTGATGATCATTATGAATACCAGCACCCCTGGGGGATGGGGCTTCCAAATGTCAGCTGACAAGCACCATCCTTTGTGCTGTACCTTAAAAAAATTGCTATGCATGCCCCTGCAGCCTGTGTTCGAGTGAACTTTTTTTCCCCTTTAATCTCTCACAGAACCCTATCAAGTTCTCACAGAACATGGGGCTCCACAGAACACAGCTCGAAAAACCCAATGCTAGTTGAACAGACTGCCTTGGAAAATTGTGGACTTCCTTTTCTGAACTCATTTAAACAGGGCTATGCAGCCAAATACCAAAATGGGAAAGTTGCATTCTGCTTTGAGAAGGTTCTTGATCTAAATCAGCTTTCAGATATGTAAACCATAACTCCATGATAGTTGGGATTCTGGGAACTGAAATCCTCACATCAGGAACGTGCCCAGGTTGGGACAGTTTACATTGTTATACTATTTCAGAATGCAGTCGGTGTCACATGAGTGAGTACCAGCCTTTTTGTGTGCTTGTTTAAAAGACTGAATAGGGATTTGTGCAAATAGAGATGTTATACAATTGTTAAACCTGTAACTAGAGGTCGTCTATCCTCATGCATCTGCCAACTTGCTGGAATCCATGTGTAGAGTCAGCAACTGCTTTGAAGATTTTCCAGTGTGGTGCAGACAGTTAGCTTTATTGTTAGCTTTACTGTTTGTGGCAGCAGATCAACTTAAAATTGCAGTCAAAACTGTCAGATGATAGGACCAATTAGCTCAATGAGCATTCTCATATTTCCGTTAGGGCTAACAGGTTGGATTCAGTTCCAAGAGATGAAGCATTGTCTGTAACTCATGAAAGCAGCTGCATTTATGGAGGTGCAGACAAGTACTAGGTTCTTGTCCCCAAATTTCACTTACTGTCTCCCTCAAGCTGCAACTTGCATTGGCTTTAAAACTGAGATGGTGGAGGAGGGATCATCCAGAAAATCAAATGAAGGAGAAAGGATTAACCTACTCCAACGTGATCAAGATCTGGATTGGGGATGGTAGCATAGCTGTTGGTAGGCAAAAAGTATGACAAACATGCAACTGATAAAAAATATGCTAAAACTCACAGGTAGCTTAAGTCAAAGCATGTTGAACATTGCAGCATTCTTAAAATACGGGTTAACAAGCCTCATTTAATACAGTCACTAGGCTGGATTCACACTGTGCTGAGGATTGTATTCATGTACTCACAATGTCTGTGTGCTCTGTGGGAATGTAGGGATGAAACTGATCTCTGTACAAGTTATTTTGTAGTGTCCCCAGTCAGAGCAATCACACAAGGATGAAGGGCACACTTCTGTGCCTCTACTTCTCTGACCCAATTCCAGCAGAAGCAGCAGCTGAAGGAACTTGGGTAACCACAACATCTTCCTGAGTCTACTGCTGCAGCAGCTTCATTGCCGTGTGTAATCTTTTGCACCAGAAAGAGGAGAGGGGCTAATTAAGTTCCTTTCCCTGGGAACAGAACAGAAGAAAATTGGAATCTCCTGAGAAATGTCCCTTTTACCTAGTTATTCCCCCCTTCCCCTAAGTGTAAAAGCAAAAATATTGGTTAGAAAAAAAAGAAAAAGAAAGAAAGCTATGTACAAAAATAGGCTATTCAGCTACCCATCAACACCATGCTGAAATTGTTTTTTTTTTAAATTTCAGTATGTCTGCATATTAATTTGTCCATTAAAGTAAGATGAAAACAATAAAAAATATGCCAGAGCATCCCAGAGTAAGGTCTGGGCCACCTCAAATCCCACAGTAAGTATCTACCACACTGGCTTTGTGGAAGCATGTTCCTCTCTGACCAAATAAGGGCCTTCCAGAATGCTGGCCAAGGCTTCTTCATGTTGTAGCATGAAACATTCATAGGGCATTAGGCTGTCTACCATGCCTTGAACTTTTTGTTTTTTATGGTATGTCTTCTTTGGCACATTTCCCACAAATCTGATCTGAAAGACTTACTTACTTTTTCAAGAATGAAAAAAGGAGTTTAGAATTACACTGTTACATTGTCCAAGAAAAAGTAAAGTAATTTAGTTGTACTGATTTGACATTATATT